TGTTGCATTGTGGGAAGTTACAGTCAATGTCATGAAACAAAGTCTATGTGAACTGCTGTATGGAAAATGAATTTGCTCTGTAAACTTTCACCCAAATCACAAAAAATAAAAAACCTGCATTAAAAATAAAACAAACAGAATGGTCCATCTATATGGTCTGTATTGTTAGCATCAACTATTTTCAAATTGTAATGTTAATTTGGGGGGTGGTATGAGGCAGCTGGGAAAATATGAATATAAATACTACATTTGATGATATTGGGAAATATTGATAATTTTTTAGATGTGATGGCAATATTGTGATTTTGTAGAGCATGTTCTTATCTTAGGAAAAATATGCAGAGTATTTTGGGGTCAAATAAGATATTTGTGGTTTACTTTCAAATAATCAGGAAAAGAAAAATCAAGGTAGGGTATAAAGTTATCGCACTATTTATCATTTGAAATTTTATACATAAAAGTGTTCATAAAAGAAAAGGGTGGAAAAAATTCTAACTCTTCAAAACAAAACAAATTAGAAGATTACATAAAAAATTTGAAATGGATATTTGGGGGAAATGTGAGCTTTTTCATATAGTATTTTTGGCTTTCATTAAAAAAAGAATGATTTATTTTTTATCTGATTAAATAAGTTAATTTGTTAAATTAGCATCTGTATAATATTTTTAAATGCCATGCTGGGAATAAAAATAGAGAGCAAACTTCGGAAACTGACAGATCAGACAAATTATTAACATTTGGAAAAGGTTTGTTGGAGAAAGACTAAAGGAAATTTCATCTTCAAGTTCTTTTTCATATGTAAATTCACACTATACTTAGATAGTTTTAAATTAAAACTTAAAAATAGCAGTTTAACTAGATACGATTGGTTTCAATTGATTTGACCAGAAAACTGCAATCTAAAAATTACAGTATCTATAGTAATTACCTTTCTCAATTGGTTGTAAAGATTCAGCTGTATTTGAACTGAAGCTGAAACAAATGACTGAGAACTAATTAAACTATTTTCAATTTGAATATAAGCAATGAGAATTATACACATATAACATGATAAACCATTTATGGAATTTCATAGATGTTGTAGTGAGACACCAGTCTTATACTCCACTAAAATTAAAAACTAAATGTTTTATTGAAGGAATAAACACATTTCATAAAAAGGAGAGACATACCAACTTTCAGGTAGAATGCTGCCATGTGCTCTAAACTTCAGAGAGAGAGAGCAGTTTTTATCAAGTAGAATGTGGGCACAGGGAGGCAGGAGGAAGAATCAGACAAATTTACAAAATTTGTTACATTGCAAGCTTAAACATTTTCTTAACATCACTAAGCCTCTTTCGTACATTCTAGGGTTGTTACATTCTGCTAGGAGCCAATTTTCTATTGTATCGTATTGAAGTCTATCTCTTCCTTTATCAACTGGACCAATGAGCAGCATCACAATAAATGGAGAGAAGATTGAGGTTGTCAAAGAATTCACGTTGCTTGGTTCTACAATCGATGCCAATGGAAGCAGCAGTCAGAACATTGGATGATGCGTAGCCTGGGAAGGTCAACCGCGAAGGAACTGTTTCAAGTGCTGAGGAGCAAGGATGTCTCCTTGAGGACTAAGGTGCACTTGACACAAGCTATGATATTTCCAATCGCCTGCTATGCATGTGAGAGCTGAACAATGAATAAGGAAGAACGAAGAAGAGTTGATGCTTTTGAGTTGTGGTGCTGGCGAAGAATGCTGAAAGTACCATGAACTGCTAAAAGAACTAACAGATCTGTCCTGGAGGAAGTGCACCAGAAATGCTCCTTGGAAGTGAGAATGGCCAGACTTTGTCTCACCTATTTTGGTCAGGTTGTCAGAAGGGACCACTCCCTGGAGAAGGATGTCATGCTTGGTAGGGTGGAGGGTCGACGAAAGAGGGGGAAGCCTTCAACGAGATGGATTGACATGGTGGCTGTGATGATGGGCTCAAGTATAGCAGGGATCATGGAGCTAGTGCGGGATCGGGCACTGTTTCGTTCTGCTGTGCATGGGGTGGCCATGAGTCGGAAATGACTCGACGCCACCTACCAACAACAACAACAACAGGCTTACTTTCTGTCTTAATTACAGATTTACAGAGTCCGGAGAAATTGAGTGGAAAATCTCAGTAATTGAAAATGAACTCTTATTTGAGGGAGTCAGGAAACAAGGACTGAGACTTGGTTAGTTGATGTTTGCTTCACCCTGGTTACAGTTATGAGGTGGTTAGAGGCCCTATCCTATCATTTTTAATTCCACTCTTATTTCCTCACCTTCAGGGGCCCATGCTTGAGAAAGGCATTCCTTTAGACCAAGCTGAATTATGTTCTTAACAAGGACCTTCAACAAACAATTCTTCACCTAAGGTAGAAACCCTGACTCTTGCCCTCTTTGTTTCAGAAGCAGTCAAAGTTTGTCAAAAAAAAAAAAAAAAAAAAAGGAATTGTCTTTTCAGTAAAATCAGAATTTTCTTGGTCAGATTGCAGTTTGATTCAAATGGAGTTTTAATTTAAGCCTGAAGTTACCCATTTTCAATTATGTCAGCACCTCAGTTTTAAAATTCGCATACACATATGTACTAAGGTGTACCTAACCCAAGACATGATATTTTCCATTGCCTCCTATGCATGTGAAAGCTAGACAATAAGGAAGACCAAAGAAGAATTGATACATTTGAATTATGGTATTGATAAAGAATATTGAAAGAACCGTAGACTACCAGAAGAATGAGCAAGTTTGTCTTGGAAAAAAATACAGCCAGAATGCTCCTTGGAAGCAAGAATGGCATCACTTCACCTCATGTATTTTGGACATTTTATCAGAAGAGACCTGTCCGTGGAGAAGGACATCATGCTTGATAGAGTGTAAACTGAAAAGTTGATCCTCAGCAAGATGAGTTGACATGGTGGCTGCAACAATGGACACAAACATGGAAGTAATTGTGAGACCGACATAGGACCAGGCAGAGTTGTGTACTATTGTATTTAGGGTCTCTACAGGTCAGAATCTACTCATAAGGACCTAACAACAACTATCTGAAGAAAACGAATTAATCTCATTTTTCTTGTTTCAATCATGAAACTTAGTTTCGTTTATTTTGTTGTTTTTAAAATCAGAGATACTGAGACTCTGATAAGAGAAGACAGGCAGTAAGTCTGCTGTTGTCTACTACATTTTTCAGAATTCCTGGCTGTGCAATTAAAATGGCAAACAGACTTTCCTTATTTGTCTTCATAGTTTACAATTTATGTGGTCCTTCTCCTACCAGTCCCTGGAATTTGTACCCTGAATTGGTTGTGAAGATTTTTAGTCCTTTGATTCCCAGTGTGGAAAGAGGAGCGCCAGAGGAAGGCATCACTGACACCTGCCATACCACCAAGAGTCTTCCACCATGCTTTTTCCTGGCGTTTTCTATTCATGTAAGGCCCGTTATAGTACTTCATCTTCAAGAAGCCCTGGTTGCCAACGGGCGAGAACGTTGCTACTGAGCGGGAAAAGCCGCAGATCCTGCAGCAGAAAAGACTGGACAATCTGCTTCCTTAAAGATTACAGCCTATGTTCTACTCTGTCCTACAGGGTTGCTGTGAGTTGGAATTCACTCAACAGCACAAAAGAACTCTTTCAACTTCAAGTGAATTATTTCCCACAAGACAGGCCCAACATTTGGGTCAACTGGACAAAGTGAATCGTTTCTGTCGTCGAACACTTGAAGCCCTTAGTCACTAACATCACTTCTCTGGATCCTGATTATACTTTGTGCCCTTCACCTTACACATCTCTTCAAATTCCTGAGTCACGCTCTGTTTATGTTGCTGTTCTAGAAGCAAATTGCTGCAGGGACCCAAACAAAAGTGACGCGAGCATTGGGAAGGAGGGGTCATGGTCGGAGGAAAGCAGTCTAGCAGCGAAGGTACCCGGCGCGTGCAATTAAAAGGGCAAAATGTAAACACGCGACATTTTCCTGAACTAGCCAAAAAAGCACGCCATTCCTTCCCCACCCCCCACCCCGCGATCGCAGATCCTAACAAACTGGAAAAGGCTGGAGATTAGTTATTTGTATTTGTTTTGGGGCCCAACCAAGAAATAGCAGAGAGGGAAGAAGACATTTTCAGAACAATTTTTTTTGGTTTAAAACGATTGTTAATGTCATATTAACAATAAAATAACAAATAAAACTTTGTCATGTTTTCGGTGGGATATACTTCGGAAAGGTTTAATTAGAAAGAAAATACACAGAAATGGACAAAGTGTTTGTCTACCCCCATTCCGCAGGGTTCACAACGCTGGGGGCGGAGAAAGGGGCGGAGCTTTACAACGTCACAAATGCTAACGCGCTGCTGTGTTGTTTTTGTGTTCCTAGCTCCTGGGAAAAGCCTCCCGGATTTTTTTTCTTTTTTTTTTTTTTTTAACCTGGCTCTTCCTTACTTCCAGCCGAGGCGACCAGGGATCCCTTTTGAACGCTCTGCCAAGTCGTGTTGCGTTGGGAGTTGGCATTTCTAAAGCGATTCGATCACTACTGATTTGACGGAGAGAAGCAATAGGCGAGAGACGCAATCATCAGCGAGGAAGGCAGGCCCCGTCCGGGGATTTTAGAAACCCTGCGGTCCATCATGAAGTTCCAGTATAAGGAGGACCATCCCTTTGAATATAGGAAAAAGGAGGGAGAAAAGATCCGGAAGAAATACCCGGACAGGGTCCCTGTAAGTGTAATGGGAATGGGGGAGGCATGGGGGCGGTGGAGGGTGGAGAGCAGGGGGTTGGGGAGTCGTGATGGCTGCTCTAAGGAACAGAAAGATCCCTGGAAAAGGAAAGCGCCTAACGTTCCTCAACCCAGAACGTCCTTCGCTAGCAAGGAGAGTCAGTGGATATTGAGACTGCAGACCTTTTTAAACCTTTTAAATCCCTTCCTCTAGGGCCCGTTCCCATCTTTATAGTTGACCGCATCTTTAGAGCGGAGCGGTCGTCTCGAGTGACTCAGCAGCATTCAGAAGATGTGGCCTTTTGTGCGAGATGATTAGGTTGGGGTCCTAGGTTTGCTGCATTTAAGAACGCACGTAAACTGCTGTGGGACCGGCTGATGCACTGGAGTTCGCTACTATCGATTTCTCCTATAGATGGTTCTCCTTCAATCAAGTTCACTCTGGCCTGGAATTATTGGGCTTGGAAAGGAAAACATGAGAAGCCAGTAGATTCTTTCTTCTAGAATAACTCTAAATATTGGGGCGGGGGTGGCGGGACGCACCACAAGACAGGCCTGGCCCAGCCAACAAGGTCACGTTCTCTGCGCAACAGCTCACTTGCCTCACCATTCTTGGCTCCAGGGGCCAAGTGTAGGGACTGCCAGCTTTCCTAGGTACTTAATCTCATCAGATCGTACCTGATCACAAGACAGACCGAAGCTTCCTTCTCCCTGTTTGACCTCTGACTTAAGTAGTTAAAACTAGTGCTGGAGGAAAAGAGGTGAAATATCAAGGCATCTTTCAGCATCCGGGCGTTTTTCCCATTTCCCCCTCCCCCTCCCACTTGCCTGGTTTCTCTTTAATGTAGGCTGCGCTGCGCAGCCAGAATGGACGACAGAAGGAGCCTGTGGTAGAAGGAACAGCAGTTTTTGGGTTTTGGAGATGGAGGAGCAGTGACCTTAAGGTTGTGCTCTTTTATCTTCAGACAAGAGCATTCGGATAATGTAACAGATAAAGAAATTGTAAATTTAATAGGTAAAGAAATTACAATGACTTGATGTCCTTTCTTGACCTGGGTATTCCTGGGCCGCCTCTAAAATCCTTAACCTTTCATAATTTTACAGCTACCAGAGACAACTTGAGGCGTAGCCTAGCAGTACCAACCCCTTTTGGTCCTTTCTTATAAATAAGAGACATTACAGCTATTCTATTCCCCAGGAATTACATATAAAAGGGTTTGGGGCTAGAAAGGAGAACTAACCTTATTGCCCAGTAAAAAATTCTTCAGAGTTTATTTTCCTGGTCTCTGGACATTGGATGGCTCTTTGAAGATGTTCTCCCAATTCTGGTGGCACTGATCCCACTCTTTAGTAATAATATTTTTAATATGAGAGCTATTATTTACCGACAATTTACCCTGTACCTGGCACTGTTATAAGTGTTCTCTATATAGTCATTCGGGAGCTCTGGTAGCATAGTGGCTAAGACACTTGCCTGCTAACCAGACGGCTGGCGGTTCAAACCCACCAGCCACTCCTCGGAAGGAAGGTTGGGCACTCCTACTTCTGTAGTGATACTGCCTCGGAAAGCCAAGGAGGGGTCACTATGAGTCGGGGCCAACTCGACGGCACACAGCAACATACAGTCATTCAGTTAATCCTCACACTGTTATAATCCCCATTCTATGATGAAGAGTCTGAAACAGTCATGTGGGAACTTTATATTGCTGGTCTGTGGCTAAACTGGGATTCTAACTTCACCTGTCATTCATAGAGCTGTGGGTGCTCTTAAACTCCATGCCACATTATTTCTCAATTTCTAATACAGCTCTGTTCCCAGAACTAAGTAAGTGCACAATGTTTGCTTCTCACTATTAGGTAGTGGGAATAGAGAGATAAGTAAACTGTTGCTGCCTTCAGTAGTTTGCAGGGTACGTAGTATGGTGCCAGAAAAGTAACTCAGCAAGCAAAATGACTGCCATTTATTCAGGACTTGCAAAGTACAAAGGAGCTCTGGTGGTGCAGTGGTAAGACATTTGGCTTCTAACCAGAATGCTGGTGATTTGAACCCACCAGCCATTGCGTGGGAGAAAGATGAGACAGTCTGTTTCTCTGAAGATGTGTAGCCTTGGAAACCCTATAGGCCAGTTCTACTCTGTAGTATAGGGTCGTTATGAGTCAGAATCAGCTCAGTGGCAGTGAGTTTGGTTTGGTTTGGTGCAAAGTAAAAGGCACTGTGTGAGTCACTTTATGTAAATCACAAACTGAAATGTACCTATTCCTAAATCTAATAAAATTCCCATATATTTCCTTAAAAACTGAGTCCTCCCCATTTTCAGTTATTTACATGAATCCATCCAAAATATTTCAGCTAATCACCCTACTGCACATAATTTGATGTTGAATGTTTTACTTTTAAGCCATTACTCAGATGTCGTGATTCCTGCAGTTAGGTTTTAACCAGTAACAAGACTCTGAACAGCTTGCTGGGTTCTCTGCCTGTGGCCCTCCTCCTACAGTGGTGATGTAGGGAGAAAGAACTATGTGGTTTAGTTCTGCAGTTTTATTCCAGTTCTAGCTTCAAGATTTCCCTGTACAGTTGAGCAGAACTCTTAATTTCACTCTGATGAAGTGTCTTTATCTATGGAAAAGAAGGTTAGAGACAATGATTTCTATACACTCTCCATCTGGACCATGGTGTTACTAAAGCAGTCTTGTACCTTGACTGCTCAGGTGACCTGAGTTTGTTGTTGTTGACCTGAGTTTAGCCCTAATCGATATCACTTTATAGCTGCCATCTAAAAGACTAAATGTGCTTGTGGATCGAGAGGAAAGGGGTTCATGGGATCTTAAGATCAATTATCTTAATAGCTACATATTGAGTATTGAGAAGACTGCTGGGAACAGTATATCTTTTTTATGTCTTTAATTCAGTAATAACTCTTTTGAGTATTAGCCACTTTTCACAGATGAAGAAACTGAGTCCCACAAAGACAAAGCATGTAGCCCAAGAGTCTAGTCAGTATAAGTGAGGTACTTGTTTAGTGTTTGTTTCTATTTCTCAACTTTAACTTTTCTATACTTACCATGTTGTCTATGTAGAATGATCATATTTTCTAAATTAAAAATCTAAAGCCCATGGTTTTATGATATATATTTTGCTATATTACAAACATATAAAAATAAGTCTTTTAATTCCTATGTGTCTTCATTTTTTTAAACAGACATGTGCAGTCTTTACAAAATGTGAAATGTTATGGAAGTATTTAGTGTAGATACTGAAAATCTCTTGAAATCCTAACAGATAGTCAATATTGGTATATGGATCATTGTACTTACACATTTCTAAATGTCATACTATAAGAACCATAAGAACTGTTTCTAATACTTTTTTCACTTAAAGTATCTTGAAAGTACTTTCTTAGCAATCATTCCTAAAAATTTTAATGAATTATATAATTCAAACCACATTATCTATACCTTTAATAAATAGCATTTACAAGAAAAAATAAAACTAGTAACTAATCAGAACCATCCTAGAGAACCCAGACAGTCTCCTTGATGCTCCAATTAAAAACCTGAAGGTAGATGTCCTTGCAATGACTTAAAATCAAGGTTCTTTTTATTTTGATCACATGCCTTCTCCATTATCTTTTTTTCTCTAGTAACGAAACTAAAATCTCACCAGGGAAACCCGTGTCCCCATATATTTTGTAAAGAATAGGGAGGGATGAGAAGTGGAGAAGTGTTTTAAATAGGGCAATTGCAAAATGTGGAAGGAAAAATATTGGTTTGGCTTCTGAAGTTTTTACTCCCACTCTCCTCCTCTCCTCCCAGGTGATCGTGGAAAAGGCTCCGAAAGCCAGGGTGCCTGACCTGGACAAGAGGAAGTACCTAGTGCCCTCTGACCTCACTGGTAATGCCCTTCCCTCCTCTGACCCGTCCTCCTGTGGCAAAGCATTCTCAGTCCTTAGTACACACCTGAGAGTATGAGATTGAGAGGAAGTACTGAGTTGAAAAGATGAGTGGGATTCTCCAGAGAGCCAATTTAAAAGATGAATGATACAGTATTTCTTCTCCCGTCACCAATTCCTTAAGAATTTCCCATAAAAGCGTCTTATTTGACTTAAATACAGCAAAGTGCAAAGTATTGAAAGGTCAGCTGTCCACTTTTTGAACTACTTTAAAAATAAATCTTTGTTAAGTGAATACACTTTATTTCCAAAGGAAAACTAAACCAGATTCTTGGACTGATGACATTTAAGAGATTCTGAGCTAAATACCTGTCTTCTCAGGTTAGAGTTCTTTGTAATACATTTTTAGATTCTGTTGGGAATTAGAAAGAATATGTTCAGTCTTGATCTTGAAACTTAATCCTTGCTGGAATAATCACTGTATTCAGAAGACTGTGGAAAGAATGTGGATATGTTTGCTAAGAAGTTTGACTATCAGCCTTCTAGAATTTTTTCAGGCTTCTCAGGAAAAGGTAATGCACTGAACTCCATTCACTGAGCTGGAACTGGGATGAGTTTACCATGCTAATATTACTAGAGCCCAATAGACCTCTTTCTCAGTATAGTTTGTCTAAGGGTGGAGGTCTGAATGCAAGTATTTTAATCAGATTTAAACAATAGTGGGAATCTTTTGGTTGGATATATATGGTATGGTAACTTTAGGTTAGAAATAGAATGTTGTTGTTGTTGTTGTTATGTGCCATCGAGTCGGCCCCGACTCATAGCGACCCCTCCTAGGGTTTTCAAGGCAGTATCACTACGGAAGTAGATTGCCCCATCTTCCTTTTGAGGAGTGGCTGGTGGGTTTGAACCGCCAGCCTTCTGGTTTGCAGTCAAGTGTCTTAGCCACTATGCTACCAGAGCTCCTAGAAATAGAATAAGAGCAAAAAAAAAAAAAAAATTAAGGAGTAGACTCATATCTTTGAGTCTCACTTCTTGTTTCTAAAGTACTAGGAAAGTATTGGGCTGTGCCTAGATGGTATATAAAGCTGGTACGTACTCCAAAGGGAATATGTGCAGTAGATTCCGGCCCCTACCCCTATCATCCCCCCCCCACACACCCTCTGGGACTTCTCTTCTATCATTCCTTGTTGTCTTCTTCCCTTCTTGCATTACTTTTCTAAAATCTTCTTCCTTCCTTCATCCAGTTGGCCAGTTCTATTTCTTAATCCGGAAGAGGATCCACCTGCGACCTGAGGACGCCTTATTCTTCTTTGTCAACAACACTATCCCTCCCACTAGTGCTACCATGGGCCAGCTTTATGAGGTAATGGTCCCAGTTACAACACTATGGCATAGTCTGGCATTCTCTCGCTTTTGTTTCAGTGTGTGTTGATAACACACCTGGGAAGTGGGGCAGGTGGTGTTATTTATCAGGATCTTCTTACACATGGCAGTGTAAGGCTCTGGGAGATTAGATACCGTTTGCCCTTTAGGGATTGAGCACCCTCCTAAATCCAATCCTTTTGAATTCTTTTCTCAATCCTGCCTTACTGTGGTGTTTCATTGTTGGGTTTTCTTTATTGAAATAGTGAGAAGTGGTTCCTGACTGAAAAACTTCAAATCCCTTTCCCTGAGCTGTTCCTAACGTTCTTATTGATGATGTATAACTTGGAAATGAACTATGCATTTAGGTTCCTGTTCATTATTTTATTCCCATTAGTAATAGATTGAAAAAACAACAGTAAAGCTATCTCTTTCTACCTCTGAAGCTAATCTCTTCAAACTCTGATAGTTTGCCTTAAAAGTTAACTCCCTCTCTAAACACTGAGGTTTTAGCTTAAAACAACAACATAAACTCAAACAAGGGAAGCTTTTCTTCTAAGAGTGGAACTGGGATAATAAAGCAGATTCCCCATATCTGGGCACTGGTGAATACGAGTGGAATTAATTAATTTGTCTTAACAGATAAGCTGAGTTTGGGAAAATAATTGGTAAACTATCAAAATCTAAGACTATAATAAGGGACTTTATTATGCCATAAATATAACCTGAGATTATAGCTGTATTACTTCTTAAAGAATTTACATGAGATGTTCCTTTCTTATAATGCCCCAGTAGTGTATTATACAAATACTGTGAAAGGCCAGAACTCAATGGGACTTCCTTATTTTTCTGGATCCGACAAGTTTTCTGCCTTTGACAGGGTGGAGTCTCACCATTTTTCTATCAGTCATTTTAGTGGAAGATACTTGAATTTTCCTTTTCTGATAGGTTACCACCTGACACGGCTTACAGCTTTCACAGGTTTTACTGCATACATGTCTAATCACCTCTCATGTTTTTTCTGTAGCATATATTTAATAGTAGTATGTATTGTCTAGAAGTATATATTTTGTGTTTTGTTTTATCTATAGGCTCCTTACCAAAAATTCACTACTTTTTGAAAATTTTGTATTTTTAATTTTTTGACTTTTTTGTTGAGCTGAAATTGACATACCATAAATTGCACCATTTTCAAGTGAACAATTCAGTGACATTTAGTACATTCAGAGTATTGGCAACCACAGCCTCTCTCTTATTCTAAAATATTTTCATTATCCCAAAAAGAAACCCTGTGCCATTGAGCCAGTTGCCACTCATCCCCCTGACACCTACCCCCTCTAGCCTCTGAAAAGCACAGAATTTGCATTCTGTCTCTGTGGATTTACATATTTTAAATAGTTCATATAAATGAAATTGTATACTATATAACCTTTTGTTTCTGGCTTTTATCACTTAGTACAGTGTTTTTGAGGTTCATCTATGCTTAGCATGTATCAGTCCTTTATTTCTTTTTATGGCTGAATAGTACTCCATTGTATGTGTGTACCACAATTTATCTATTCAGAGACATTTGGGCTTTTTCTGCTTTCTGGCTGTTATGAATAGTGCTGCTATAAATGTGTACAGTTGTTTTTTTGAGAACCTCTTTTCAGTTATTTGGGTATATACCCAAGAGTGAAATTGCTAGGATGAGCTTCTTAAAAGTAAGAACTATACCCTTGTCATCTTCAAATCCCTGATACCTATATGTATCAAGTTGTCTCTGAAGGTTTTTGTTTGTGAATCTAGATCCAGATCTCAAAGATTAATTCTAACCACTTACTTTCTTTGTTCTTTTTTTTAAATTAGGACTAATGATACCTTTCATGCCTATATTACAATGTTGTTTGAGGCTCAGAATTCTAGATGATGAATGTGAATTTCTTTTCTAAACTATCATCTTATCTCTTCCCCTAGGACAACCATGAGGAAGACTATTTTCTGTATGTGGCCTACAGCGATGAAAGTGTCTATGGGAAGTGAGTGATGGAAGCCCAGCAGATGGGAGCACCTGGACTTGGGGGTTAAGGGGAGGGGTGTGTGTGGGACTTGGGGGAAAAGAGGGAGGGCTCCCACCGTGAGGAGACAGAGGGCAAAGACATCTAGAAACACTACACTGCACACACCATCATCACATTTTCACACACTCAGTTGATAGTTTTTGCTGCTTTCTTGGCCCAGGGAAAAAGCATGTCAGGACCCAGCTGTTGGATTGGCTTTGATAGACTAATGGAATGACATAACTCACAGCATTGCTGCAAATTAATTTTTGCGTGACTTCATAGAAAGGCCAGGAGGCAGGCAAGTTAGGGCCTGAGCAGATTGCAATCCAGCAGCAACTTCCGGTCTCCTTTCCCATTGGATAGAGAGTCTATTTTTTTTTTTTTTTCATTTGCACAAGATGGCAAGGGAGAGGAGATGGGAATGTTTTAGGATTATTGGTAGTGGACCATTCTTGGGGACCAAAAGAAAAATCAGCTTTATTCGAAGCATTGGGACCCCTGATCTATCTCCACATCTCTGTCACATCAGTCATAATTTCACACACATACTTCACACCCTGGTGGTGGTGATAGATATTAGACATTAGAGCTGGAGCTCCTTACTTTTAGAAACTAGGGATCAGGTGGTTATGATTATGAAGATAGTTTTAGCATTAAACTGGAATTGACTAAGCATGAAGTATCTCTGTCTAACCTGCTCTCTCTCTGGTGCCCTTTTTCCCACAAAATCTACTGTGAACTTTATTGGGTCTCAGACATTTCCAGTTGCAGGCTAAACAACTTCTCTAGCATGTCCCAAACTTGGCTCCATAAATAGGGCTGGAGATGTCTTATACATTGAAGGGGTAGTTATGAGGCAAGGCAGATCATCTACACTTCCACTCACCCAGAATTCTTGCTCCCTTACTGCTTGATTGCCACTGTCCCTTCAGTCTCACACTCACATGAATGCTAAATGAAGGCCAGCTGCTTCCCTCCTTTGGTTTTCACCCACTGCAGCTGGTAGTTAGACAAGTGTGGTGGGATGACTTCAGTAATTGTGGGGTTCTGTTGATTCTGATTATTTTCACTTTAGGGGTTATGATGTGGGGTGGGGGTGGGGAGCAGGAGTCACACTCAAACATGACATCTCAATCATCTCTGCTAATGAAAAGGGTCCTTCCTATTGGGGGAAATCTGTGTGTTGGTTCTGTCAGCTGCAGGTTCTTGTATAATGAAGTGTATGCTGTCAGGCCAAGGAAATAAAGTAAGTGCATACCTGAAAAAATCCACCATGTCTTCAGAAACATTGCCTTTATTTACTATGTATTAACAGAGATGGTACGTTGATTCTCAGCAGAAAATTTGAGTGAGGGTGGCTGTTAGCAATGAAGTTCACATACGGTCAGATGTATATGTGCTTATTCAGCTCTTTTTGAGAAATTACTATCCAAAGGTGAGTGCTGTGGTGTGGCCCTAGATCTGGTGTGTTGCTGTATGTGTGACTTTCTCCTCCACACACAAGTGCTTTGTCACTCTACTTTGTGTGTTTCCCAAAGCTGAGGTTGGAAGACTGCCTGCATTTGAGTATGTTGGGTGAGGGTGGGAAGGTGCCCATTAAAAATGCAGACACCTAGGCCTTGTCCTAGATTTAGCTGACTCAGAATCTCAGTGTAGGCATCTGTATTTTTAATAAGCTCCCCATGTGATTCTGCTGCACACTGAAGTTTGAGAATTACTGCTCTATGCACCAGATTTTGCTCTAAGTCCCAACCACACCGAATCTGTCTACTTCATCTTGGTCAGTATGAGGCCATCATTTCCCAAAGCAGCATATGGCACCTAGGTAAGACTCCTGGGGTCAGAACCAGCTTAATTTCTTCCTCTGACTATAAGGAAATCTTTTGTTTTGTCTGTCACAGACCAGTATGTGGGTAGGTGATGGGAGCATGACTTAAGTTAGATAAGGAAGAAAAGCTTTAGTTGAAATTCCTCTCAGAGAACTGTAAAGCCATCTCTTTAATTTCTTCCAGCTATATTACCAAGTGGTGTCTACCTATGCATAGTCTTATAGAATAGATTAGTCACCAAAAAGAAAGTAGTGGCTATAAATGTACCACAGCAGGATTCTGCCAACCACCAAAACATGTCCTGTATACTGATTGTGAAAGTGAACTCAGGATTGAGAGCAAAGGAAGGAGCCCGAGCCTAGCAAACACCACATGCTGAAAACTATGGCAAGCTCCAAGGAATTTTGATGGTGACATCAGAGCATTAAACATGGACACCTGTCACTACTGACAGAAAAATATTAGAATATTCCTTGAAGAAAGCTGTATGGAAGCTGATAATTGAATGTTAAGATAAGGACTGCATTTTCAAACTAATAGACTTCCCTACTAACAAAACTTACCTGAGAACAAGATTGGATGAATATTTAAAACAAACACATGGCAGATCCCAGGCCTCTATCTACATCTGAAATGTACATGCAGTGCAAGACACTGTCAGCCCATTGCTAAACCGCAGAAGTACACTGACTTCTAACTTCTAACTTCAAAATCCTCTAGGAGGATTTTGCTTATTTCAATTCTAATTATTTCTGGGTTTTCCTAGTGAAATGATTTTATCTTTGGATAGCGTATCACATGCCATTTTTGATGAGTCCTCCGATTTTACAGATCTGTAATGGCAAAGTCTAGAGGAGCAGGCAGGCTGGATATTCCAGTGCTTGGATTGGGATATGATGCCCTTTGCTTAGCATCATTATAGTCACTGGGACTGTGTTGGCACCACTCTGCTTTCCTGCTAGTCAACCTTTTAAAGCTCTTTAGTACCATAAGGTCATTATTAGGTAAGTCTTGAACTGAAAGCAGTTAAGGAAATGCCCTTCTGGGCCCCATTTCCCATGTAAGATTGACTGATATGTGGATTTCTGGGGAACAAGTTAAGTGGTGTGTTAAATGGACCCATTCTTTCCCTTGGAGGACAGCATGACATCAAGGTCAGAAACAAGTGAAGCCTTAACTCATTGGTTGAAAAATCTCAAATATTTCTATTTATGTGTAGGGTGAAGGAGCTCTGGTGGTGCAGTGGGTCAGGCATTTGACTGCTAACCAAAAGGTCAATAGTTTGAACCTACCAGCTGTTCCATGGGAGAAAGATGATGCAGTCTGCTTCTTGTAATGATTTATAGCCTTGGAAACCCAATGGGGCAGTTCTCTGTCCTATCAGGTCACTGTGAGTTAGGATCCATTCAATGGCTGTGGATTTATACATAGGATGAGTATACACATAAGTTTTTCAAAGACAATTTTGGTTTATGCCTGTTATCCCAGTTAATTTACCAGTGGTTCCTTCTTTCACTGTCATAAGTGCCCCAATTTGGACAAAATATCATATGGTCATTTTCCTTATATTCATTATAAAAATTGAAGTTTGCCCCCTCCAAGAGGGACACACAGTGCTTTTACCATCCAACACAGCATGTCTCAGTATATTTCTTACCCTGTTTGGGTCAAGACTAGAAAAAGATTTCACACTTGAACAGCAGACTGTTCTGCTTTATTCCATTTTGTCTCCCAATGCCGAATCGCTTTTCTTCCTTCAAAGCATTTTGCACATCTTCAGGAAAAAAAGAAAGTTGTACACTACAGTGTGAAATCGTAGCTTGTGATTGCAAAAGAATAGAATGTAAAATGATGGGATAGTAAACTAATGTCTACCAGTAACTAGGCAGACAAGACCAATATCCACTATGTTGCACACTCCACAGGCCACCATATCATAGTCCAGTGTGAACAGTGATCCCAGCACTAGTGTAGTACACCATTTCCTGACTGTTGGCAACAGTCCTTTAGCCAGCATATTGTCAGTTACCTTGGAAATTTATTAAGCTTACAATTTTACAGTGTATTGTGTGTCATTAACTATCAAATATTAGGTATGGTACGATTTGGAGATTTTGGTGGGTGGGGCACACATGTCCAATTGCCCATGGATCCAACACCAAGTCAGCTGTAATAATGAAAACATTTAGTTATTTCTAAAAAGTAAATGACATATTCATTTCATGTAGTTTTTACTCTATACAAAACTTGTAATCAACTATTTTTAGCTATGTTTTCTTTCAGATATTTCTATTCAGACAAATTTGAACAAACTAAGAATTCATCTTTTTTTTTTCAAGTTGCATGAAACTACCAAATATTTCCAGAAACTAGTCATTTTGACTTTGCCTCTAGGTCTAGGTTGTTACCTCCATGCAGCCCTGAATAATCATCCTCGATCCTCCTGATCTCCCCCCTGCCCTATGTTTACCAGCAGAATTTGGTCAGCTGCAGCCTGTGACACACAATCCTGTAGATGATGCAGGGCTTCAGAGCTTGTTTTTCTATTTTGATGCATGTTTAAATTAAAAAATAAATAAAAGGCACAAATATTAAAGTCTCTGTCACAAAAGTTGTGAAAGGCTGATGATGTGAACCTGTTTGCCCTGTTGTATCATAGTGCCTAGCCCCGTACTTGCTTCCTTCCTTCTTTTTTCTTTTATTCTTTTAGTTAGGCTCACCATTATGTCTGGTACTTAAATACGTATAGCCAAATTATTTTCAAACTTTGAAATAACAGGAAGCTATCACTGTGAGAAGCAGTCATATGTCTCATTTCAACATGACATACAGGTGTGCATATATTTCAGCAGTCACTAACAAAAGACTTAAGCCATTCTCCTGGTCTGTATCCAGAGTGTGGACCAACTATTAACAGTTCTGTTTTCAACACGGCGATACATTTCTGTAAGACCCTAATGACTTCTGTGTAGACTTGGTTAGCACATGAAACTAAAATGATCCTGAGCTCTTGGATAGGGTTTGAAACACATTTTATATTTCTTGTCAGTTCAGAGGTGCCTCTCATTATTCAATAAAAGCATTTTTAAGATGCACATAGTGCTCAAAAACTAAAAGTAATAATAAGCTGTCTTTTATGTGCTGACAGTACTAACTCCCCATCTCCTTTAAGTCTGCTTAGCAGTCACCTTCTCTAAGTTCTACCATGAGCACCTGCTTTAATAGTTCAATAA